TTTGCTTGAGTATAGAAAAGAGAAAGGAATCCTAGAGCCCTCTACAGTTTCAGCTGGAAGGTACATAGAATGCTATCCTTGAGAAAATGAAAAAGAAATTCGTTTAGTGAGTTCAAGAAATTCAATGACATTTAAGATACGTGGGGCTTGAGATGATATAGACATATCTGGGGGCAGATATACAGTAGATGGTTAAGTCAGGAAAGTGGATCTAAGAATCATTTTTATAAAAAGACATGTGGAGATAAACATTATGGACAAAAAGCAGAAAGAGAACATGATAGGAAGTAGAGTGTGTGAAACAACCCAAGAGATTAGAAGGTCAGGAAAATAGAGTTTTTCAGAAATTAATGAGGAAGCAACTTTTAAGGATAAGGAGATATGTACATTGAAAAGATATGAACATTGAAAAGGGAGTATTCTGAGAGAGAAAGCCATTAGCATGGTCACTTGTGCTAAAAGAAAAATAATAAGAATCTAAAGTCCATTTGTATGGATTATGTTGTTGTGTAGAGTTGGAACTGACCCATAGCTGACCCTTCAGCAGGTTTTCAGAGGTAGTTAATCTCAAGGGAAGAGATTGCCCATCTCTCTCCTGTGGAGCAGACGGTGGATTCAAACCACATGCCTTTGAGATTGCAGTACAGCTTTTTGCCACTAGGCCACGAGTACTACCTTTATATGGATTATTGTGGCTTCCCCCACATAAAATAGCAAAGAGGAGTAACAATTTACAATAGCAAACAATTAAAATTTCCATCAATGGACAAATGGCTAAAGAAATTTTTGTACATTCATACAATAGAATATTATGTATGATTAAAAACTACCAGGAATTCATTATATACTGCATAATTTGGGGGATTCTAGAATAAATTATGTTGAATGATATAAGCCAGTCACAAAGAGACAATTTTAAGGCCACTATTATAAAAATTATTCATGAAGCATTAAAAGAAGATGGAAAGAGTATACAGAGTATTAAATATACCATGGACTACTAGGAGACAAGCAAGTTCATCCTATAGAGGGTGAAACCAGGCTGCTCCTTGGAAACAAGGATTCTCAAGCTTCCTCTGACATACTTTGGACACACTGCAAGGCGGGATTAGTCCTTGGAGAGGGGCGTCATGCTTGGGAGGGTGGAGGGACAGCTCAGGAGAGGAATACCCTTGATGAGATGGATTGATTCAGTCACTGGGATAATGGGGATAGGTGTATTGGAGACAATAAGATTGGCAATGGATGGAGCAGGGTTTAGAACTGTTATACACATGGTCACTATGAGTTGCAGGCAACTTGATGGCACATGACAATCTCATCATAAAAAGCTATGGAAAGATTTTCTGTTGTTATTGGTAGGTGCAGTTGATGCAAACCATAGTGACCCTATGAACACCAGATATGAATTCTGTCTTATGCTGTGCTATCCTCATCATCTCTGACACACTATAGTCCGTTACTCTAGTAACAGTGTCAATCAGAAAAAAAGGAATGCTGGAGATAACAGTAATTGAAAGGGAGCAAGAGGGGAGTAAAAATTAATAAAAAGGTAAGTTGACTAAAAGGAAAGGCAATAGACAATAAAGGACTGATTAAATATTGTAAATCATTGTACTGCCCAGAGCTGATTCATAGCTGACCCTCCAGTCCGTTTTCAAAGGCTGTAAATCACAAGGGAGAAGATTGCCTATCTTTTTCTTTCTGAGCAGTTAGTGGATTTGAATTGCCTGCCTTACTTAGGTTGCCAGCCAGAGCCAGAGATCAATGGTAATTCATGTTATGAAAAAATGTTTGTTTATTAATTAGTGTATAGCACCCCCCCCCCAATATAGTTTTGAAGCTTTTTGGAAGCAAGAGTGGCATCCACTTTCATAAACAACATGCCTCTGGAAACTCTATGAACTTTGATAAATGTCCATAGCTGTAGAGGGCCTTTTTGTTCAAAGGTCACTATGAGTCCTGCTCTACTTGAAGGCAATCAACAACAACAACATTGAAATGAAAAGAGTAATTCTTTTCCAAAGCAGCTTATATGCAGAACAAATAGGTGGAGATAATGACAAAGAGAAGTTTGTAGGTAATGAAAGCAAAGAACGAAACACTCTTGAAAAAGACAATGATAAGGGAGTCACAAAGGTCAGTAATTGAAGAGGAGCTGTGTCAAGGGAAGATTGTTTCCCTTTTTAGGAGTTGACCAAAATTCTTGGCAAAATAAGAAGCTGGAGAAGGACTAATTTAAAATAAAGTAGAAACAAGGTTTGAGGAAGCAGGAGGAATTATGACAAAGAGTAAGGATTTTAAGTGGCTAATCTTGAAAGAAGCAAGTCAGAGAATTATGAGAAATGGGAAGAATCAAATTTTCAAGTAGAAAGAGGAGGGAATTTTTCCAGATAGTATTGGTTTTCTCAAATGAAGGCTATAATATGTTAAATGTGTGAGAAATTCAACTGATTAAGACAGCTGAGGGAGGCATTAAACTGAATTTTAATTCTCAAATGTGTTACCTTGAGCTGAATACCAGATCTCTTGGAGACTCCATTTCTCCATCTGTAACAAAATGATAATGCTTAATTCATTGAGTTGTTAAAAATTAAATGAAGCAATGCACATGTAAGTTATAGAACACTTCTTACAAAAGAAACTTGGCACATCTACCAATGGATATTTGATAGAGCATGAATAAAACATTCAGCAAAGCAGTATCTAGGTACTTTGCCAAACAAGGTTAAGTTCTGAGCAAGGATATATAGTAAATGCAAGTCTGCACAGCTTTTGTGACTCTCCAGGTTACAAGAGGAAGGAGAAAGCAAGCTCTGAGTCTGGCTAAGTGGGGAGAAGGACAAGTGGCTGAAGAAATCTAGGTAAGTGCTACTTTATGACTCTTCCACGTATTGTTAGTTTAAGAAATTATAGGTAATTTTCATATAAAAGTTAAATGCCCCTTTATTGCTTTATTTTGGAAACGGTCAAACATGCCTTTTGTTAAAGCTTTCTTTTTATTTTTCAGTTAGCTTTTTTTTTTTTTCCCAGATTTCACATTTCTAAGAGCTTATATTCTTCCAATCACTGTGCCTAACGCATGAAATGGACGATGAAGCCACCAATGAAATAGCTTATTTCTGGGCCTAAATCATGAACAAAGAAATGTCATGGATACCTTTGACATGCCAGAGAGGCTTAAAGGAGTGGAGATAGGGAGGACAGTTGAAGGATAGGAGACTGGGGTGTTATTACCATTTTTGGAATTTTGGAATCCAAGGTGTGGCAAAGTCGTTCCATAAGACCCAGTCAGTAGACTCCTTCCTTATAAAGGTATTCCAGGTAAAAGCACTACGCGTTAAGGGTGTCAAGGGTGCCAAATACGTTCTTCCCAACTAGTCTGTGAGCCCGTAAAGGGCTTTCCCCACTTTGACATCTTTCATTGCCCCATTGTGACCAGTCAGGCATACAGCAAGTCCTCCTTGATTAATAAAAATACTGGGATGAACTAGCTCCGTTTATTTTATACATAAGTGTAGAATTATAGATGGCAAATAATTTTACCCCTTACACATTTGTACACATCCTCCCCTCACCCTTCATGGGTGAAAGAACGACTTTTCAAGTCTGTGGGAATCGAGAAGTAAAGCTCCCCGGGGCTGGTGTGATGAAAAAAGGAAAACTCTCAATTCTAGACTTTGCTTCGATGTTAGCTGAACAGGTCGTCAGAAGCAGAATTTGAGGTGTTCTTGCTGAAGGAAAACCCAGGGAACTAGCCAGCCGTAAGAGATCTTGGTTTCTTGGAACTGGCACACTAGACCTGAGGGATTCCTGGACTAAAATAACCGCCAGGAGTTAAGAGAAGTTCAGCGTCTCACATCGGCCTCAGGAGAAAGAAACACCTGTTGCCCAGTTTCACAAAAACAGGGAAATCACCTTTTAAAAAAAAAAAAAAAAAGAAAGAAAGAAAAACAAAACCAAAAAAAAAAATCCTACAATTCCCAGCAAGCCCTGCGCCAGGAGTTTTTTTATTAACTGGCAGCGACAGCCGCCAATGGGAAACCCCAATTCTAATCTCCCGGGACCAATCTTAACGGGGAAAGGAGGCCGCCCAGTGTCTATGCCAACACAGCTATTTAAGCCTCTTTAGTCACCACAAGAGATAAAAAGCGGGTCAACAGCTGTAAAATAGTGACGCTGCCTATACTATGCCGTGGAGTCTCCCACCAGCTCCTTTCTTTCTCTAGAGCCCCAAGCCCTCCAGCCGCCCCAACCTCTGGCCTCTTGCTTGGTACCGCCCCTCCGGGGACCGGCGAGGATGTGGAATTCCCAAAGCTTATTGGCTTCGCTTGCTATCACTTCGGAGGGAGGCGGGGCCCAGAGCGGGGAGGGCCGCCCCACTCAGACGGTGATTGGACTTGCCTGAGTAGACCGGGTGGTATTGGTGGGAGGAGGGACGGGAATCTTTGGGCACCTTGTTGCAGATGGCATCGGAGGAGCTAGCAGGGTCTCGGAGTGCCCTTTCACGCCGCGTAGCCTGTGCCAAGGGCCCCGTGAAGTGAAGGAGAACGGAGCTTCCCTACTGCATCGCTCAGGGGACGAGGGGTGGTGCAAAGGGGCACTTGTCGCGCATCGGGAGTGCATGCAGTGGGGTAGGGGTGGGGTTTGGCAGTGGAGGTTTGTGTAAGGTGCAGGGATCAAAGAGTCTCTAGCAGGAATAGCTCCGCAACCTAATCCCGGAAGCGTGTCAGGGGAGGAGAAGTTGGTGGGGGGCAGAGAAGGGTAGTGTGGGTGTGTCTGTTACAGAGTGCCTTGGAGGAGACCTCCTTGAGTAGATCACTGCTTGGTTCCTTTGAGGAATTCTCTTTTTTTCTGTGTTTTTATTTGGCAGCAAGAGAATCCCTATGATCTCCGAGGTCTGCAAGCTTGGTCTTTTGTGTGCGCTCAATCACATACATACTCCTTTAGTCTAGAACTGCTCAGGGCCTTTTCTGATACTGGGTACAGACTTAGGGAATATGTCAGAAAACAGGAAGCAGCCACTGCTGGGCCCCATAAGCAAACTCCCCAGTTGGTCTGTCCTTGGTAGCTCAGGCAAGACTCACTGCCCTTTGTGCATGAGGCTTTTCAAAGTCCCCAGGCTCTTGCCTTGTTTGCACACGGTTTGCACCACTTGTTTGGAGCAGCTGGAACCCTTCTCTGTAGTGGATCTGCGAGGGGGAGATTCTGACACAAGCTCTGAAGGGTCAATATTCCAGGAACTCAAGCCACGCACTCCTCTGCCGCAAATCGGCATCCTCTGCCCGGTATGTGATGCTCAGGTGGACCTGCCTGTGGGTGGAGTGAAGTCTTTAACCATAGACCATCTGGCCATGAATGATGTGATGCTGGAGAGTCTGCGTGGGGAAGGACAGGGCCTGGTGTGTGACCTGTGCAGCGACAGGGAAGTGGAGAAGAGGTGTCACACCTGCAAAGCCAATCTCTGCCACTTCTGCTGCCAGGCTCATAGGTAAAGATGGCATAGATACCTCAGCTGTGTGACTAAGAGTGGTGCACTAAGGTGCCAGTGTAGAGAAATCCATTGGTGAGCTGAAATAAAGGGAAGCATTCTCAGTAGCACCCAAGGCCAAGGACCAATATCATATTCAGTATTGTAGAACAGAAAGTAGTTAACACCCAAAGCCAAAGATACAATTCCTGTAATAATGATAGCAAACAACATTTGCAGTCCTGCAAAGCACTTCAGTAGTTTGCTTTAATCATCAATCATTTGCATAATTAATAGTTATTAGGTACTAGAGATAGGAGAAAGTGAAGAACATGATAACATAAACCCTACCCTCAATCCCATTTGAATCTTGCAACTTTTAACAGAAAAGATGGCATAATTTTTATCTTCATTTGTTGACAGAGGAAACTAAAACTTAGCAACAGCTGATTTGACAAAACACAGTGACTGTGATAATGGGTTCAAGTAAATTAGGAATGATGAGGACGGTACAGGGATGATGAGGATGGCACAGGCCAAAGTTCAGATCTGTTGTTCACAGTATCATTATGAATCATAGTTGAGTCACAACTGGTAAATAATAGAACTAAGTTTAATTGGCATCTGGCTATGTTCTGTCCTTTTTCTACTAATTTGTGCTTCATTCCCAATCACTGCTGGTAGTTTACCCTGGAGCTTGGTGAGGCAGGCTAGGGAGTGCTAACTAGGATGTGAATTATCTATTTTGGCATTGAAGAGTTTGCCACATAAATTTAGAATGTAAAATGACTGAAATTTTAGGCTTAGCCTAAAATAGTTTTTTAAGTTATGCTTTCTGGGTCCAATAATAGAGCAAGTTAGTAATAATTCTTGTTGCACATAATTGAGTTGGAACTGACTCATAGCTGACCCTCCAGGCATGTTTTCAGAGGCAGTAAATTGCAAGGGAGGAGATTGCCCGTCTTTCTCTCATGGAGCAGCTGGTGTTTTGAATCGTGTTTCTTTAGAGTGGCAGTACAACTCCTTACTGCTAAGCCACCAGCCCTCCCTTAGTAATCTTTACTCTTAATTTGTTGTGCAATCATCTCAATGGCCGGCTGTCAGCTGGTCCACTTTCTTTATAGCTAAACAGCCACATAAGTTTCAAGTTGATATAGTGCAAAGGGGAAAATACCAAGCTATCATTGTGATTTCCTGGTGACTTCCCAGGATCCCTACAGGACAAGAGAATGGGAATTTTAAAAAAACTAGCTTTGATTCTGCAGACCATTTATGTCATGTTCTAATAATACTGATGCACCTTTTTGAGGGACATTCTAGCTTGTTGCTTTTGGGTGGTGGAGATGCAGACAGAGTTGAAGACACAAAGCTTTTTGTCAAGGCCAGCTGCATTCTTATCCCCTCAGAATATTGCTGTGCTATTTGGATATAGCTTCTGTCTCTTGGTGCTGGGTTTTCACCATACTCTAAACTCTAGCTTACTGTAGGAGTAGTGTGTGGCACTGGTCTAAACTTTCATACCAACTTGTAGAAGAATTCCTAGGTACAGTAGTTTCATTGCAACTGTGCAGAGTTATGTCCCAAATTCTAATCTACTGTCATATTATTCTATACAACTTTTTAAAATAAATTTTTTATTTTATACTGGTTTACTTTCAAAGTCCGTATACGTTGTTTTTCACACCAGATCTTTACCATTTCCTTTACCCACCCCTCTCTTCACCCATCAAATTGTGCAAACCTATGATTATCCTCCTCCCCACCCATCCTCACCTCTTTGCTCCTTACACCCCCCTCTTTGGATTGTTATGCACATTTTATTAGTTATCTATTTCTATAATAATGGTCTTATACAGTATTCTTATTGTGAATAATACCACTATGAACATTGGTGTACAAATCTCTGTTTGTGCCTTGGTTCTAATTTTCTCGCAGTGGAATAACTGAGTCAGGTTTTTTTTTTTGAGGAAATGCCAACCTACCTTCCACAATGGTTATACCATTTTACAATCCCATCAACTGTTACACAACCCTTTTAAGCAGGTTTAATTCCTACTGTAAAGACAGGGACCCAGACTTAGAGATCATGAGGTTGCTAAAAAGTAGATTAGTGATTTGAGCTAAATTTTTTACTTTAGATCTCACGATCTGTTTCTAGGGTTATTCTCTCATTTCTTTCCTGCTTGATCCTAGACGGCAGAAGAAGACAGCTAATCACGCCATGGTGGATCTCAAAGACTTAAAAGGCTACAGCCAGATTGGGAAACCCATCTTGTGTCCTGCCCACCCTGCAGAGGAGCTGAAGCTGTTCTGTGAGCTCTGTGACCGGCCCGTGTGCCGGGACTGTGTGGTCGGGGAGCACCGGGAGCATCCTTATGACTTCACCAGCAATGTGATCCACAAGCATGGAGACTCCATGCGGGAGCTCCTCAAAGGCACCAAGCCGCATGTGGAGGCCTTGGAGGAAGCTCTGGCTCAGATCAAAGGGTTGAACAGTGCCCTGCAGGAGCGAGTGGAGGCTGTGGCAGCTGATGTCCGAGCCTTCTGTGAGGGCTACATCAAGGCCATAGAGGAGCATCGAGACAAGCTCCTGAAGCAGCTGGATGACATTCGGGCCCAGAAGGAAAACTCTCTGCAGTTGCAGAAGGCACAGCTGGAGCAGCTGCTGGCTGACATGCGGACTGGAGTAGAGTTCACAGAACACTTGCTGACCAGCGGCTCAGACTTAGAGATCCTCATCACCAAGGAGGTGGTAGTAGAACGGCTCACAAAACTGAACAAAGTCGAATATAGCCCCCATCCTGGAGTAAACGAGAAGATAAGCTTCTGTCCTCAGGAGAAGGCAGGCCAGTGTCAAGGTTATGAAGTTTTTGGGGCCATCAATACTAAAGAAGTGGATCCAACTAAGTGTGTCCTTCAAGGAGAAGGTAGGAAGGCGTTTCCTTTGGGCATATAAAAGATAGTGGACAGGCACCTGGTATTTAAAGATTTGTGACTTATGGGTCGTCATTCAGCTAGACAGACCTCCTTTACTAACCAAGGAAAAAACACATACTGATCTAAAGGACAGTGACCTTTCTCTTGTTCATTTCTTTTTAATCTTAATGATCAGGATTTGGAGTGTACAGCTAATGTCCAGTATTATGGTGAGGCTTGATTGTTTTTCCAGTAGAGAAAAGCTGTATCCACCAAGATGCTCAGCAATCATGGTCACCCCACCCCCACCATCATGAGGTGACAGAATAGAGATGGTACCCATAGAATACTATGGCATTGACTTTAAGACAGAATCGATGAGCATGCCAGGCCTTATGGGGCTAGGAGGATCAAGTTCTAAATAATCAACCTATGCCATTGGCATCTAGGAAAAGGGATCTAGTAAATATTTCATTCATTAGGGGATAAAAGTATTTCTTTTGAAATCCTTAGTGATCTATTCCTGAAGGTAACATATTATTCAAGCATTTAAAAGGTCAGTCTAAACATGATTGTGTCCTAACTCTAACTCCAGGATTTTTAGAATTCCCTAATTTGGGTATATAGTTTCAAGAGATTCTTAGTCCCTTCAGAAGCCTTTCATTGGATCTCTTAGTAACCTCCCCAGGTTAAGTAACCCTGTTTCATCTGAATGCTTAACTAGGGACTATAACTATTGCATACTCTGATAGCACCTTGGCATGAAGTTGTAAATCTCACAAGAAGGGTTAAGTTCATCAGGTATCAAACTCAAACACATTGCTGTTTTATTGGAACTGACTCATAGCTGACTCTTTAACAAATTTTCTGAGACTGTAAATCACACAAGAAGAGATTCCCCATCTTTCACCCACAGAGCAACTTAGTATATTTGAACCACCTGTTTTTGAGTGACAGCATAACTCCTTACCCACTAGACCACCAGAGTTCCTCCTGCCTAATCTAGCAGTATCTGGAGCTCAGAGAGAGTAGTTTTGAAGTTACCTGTCTCATGTGTCTATGGGATTTCTTCTCAGAATACTTAGGTTAATCCTGAATATTTTCAAAGATTCCTTAGGGTTGTAGTTAATTAAGGTCAAGATCTTGTGTGACCCAAGAGCAGCTAAGATATAACCAGGCTCATTTAACAGGGATTCTGGAATACAAAAGGGGAGGGAGGAAAGTCAATGGTGTGTCTGCAGTGAACAGAAAGCACAAGGGGTTTTTTTTTGCTCTGAAGAGGGAATGAAAGATAGATCTGATTCTGAGATGTTAGTACTCTAAAGTTCTTTTGATTCGGATGTTGTTTATTTCTTTTGCAGATCTACACAAAGCCCGGGAGAAACAGCCAGCCTCTTTCACCCTGCTTTGTAAGGATGCAGCAGGAGAGAGCATGGGCAAGGGAGGAGACAACGTTCAAGTTGCCGTGGTGCCTAAGGATAAGAAAGATTGGTTTGTATTATGCAGTGGGATATCATGGTTAATGAGCAGTAGGGAAAAGGAAAACTTGAGTGCTTTTGTAGTAATAGAGATGCATATGCGGTTATTCCATCTTACCTCCCAGTGGTGCTACAGATATTCTATAACCAATTGGATAAGATGTGCCTTGTTGTGTGGGTTTTATACCTGTATTAATTTCCTTCTCTAAAGTATTATCTGAAACAGAGGAGTCAGGGGGCTGGGAGGGGGTTAACCATAGGGTCACACAATTTGATAGGTGGAAAGAGAGGTGGGTAAAGGAAATGGGAAAGATCCGATGTGAAAACAATGTATACAAACTTTGTAAGTAAACTAGTATAAATAAAAATTTTATTTAAATTAGAAAAAGGCATTATCTGCCTTTTAAATCTGTGTTAGACCGAATGATGGTCTTCAAATTCAACCCCACTTTGCTATGAGATGGTGCTGGAAACATTTATGTCTCTAGAATTGGAATAGGAATGAGGGAAAACAATTAGCCTAGGATGCAAGAGAAGGCTTTGGATGAGAACACAATATATTTTCCAAGGAATTCATCTGAATATAGGATTAAATTTTAGTTTGTTATTTAACCTACCTGGGTAAAGATAACTTCTGAGGCAAGCAGAAGTGGGCATCTTTGTTGGAAAATCTTTAAAACGAATGTTGAATAGTTTAGGGTTTATATCTTAAAATGGGCACCTGAAACAGACTTGTGAAGTTGAATGCTTTTTAAATTCTTTCCATCCAGTCCAGTCAGGACAACTGTCCAGGATAACAAGGATGGGACATATTCTGTCTCCTATACCCCTAAGGAACCTGGACTCTATTCTGTGTGGGTCTGTATTAAGGATCAGCACGTGAAGGTGAGTAAGATCTGGTCCGTGTTTCTCTAGGTTTCTTTTCACGCTGTTCTCCATCTTCCTACCCTTGACTCAATTCTGTTTTTTCAGGATGTGTGGGCATTTCTCTTAGGATTTCTCATAGTAGTCTCTTCTTTCTCTTCACTTTAGAAGTGGTCTACATTTTGCTACTCTCATCCATACTAGAGGATGTTGGTGACTTTTAGAACTCTCTATCCCTGTTGTACTTCCTGGCAGGCATGCTTGTATTTAATCAATCTCTTAATCAGTTTATTGGAATTCTTAATTTGGGGAAGATGTCTTGATCTTCCAAAATACATGATCAGTAAATATTAACTTAATGCAGGATTTCCTGGCTTTATTCAGACTGTAACCAAATGTATAATATGCTTGGGAAAGTCACCTCCTTTTAGCCAACCAGACAGCTGTCAAACCATGCTGCCATGCGATTCTTCTCTCTTTTACCTATATGCTTACATATCACCATGGATATGATACCACCTTCACTAAACAAGAGTAATATTTTTGGTTTAAAGATTATGCATTTTTAAACCAAAAATTCAGTAATATACATTCAGAAGAATTTCTGATAACATTCTAATAATCAGAGGTTTCCCTCAATCAGAAATCAACACTGACAGGAACAATAAAATCCCATAGAGAATCATGCTGTAGTCCTTTGTGCTTTGTGCACTGTGAAGAGTCATATCTAATGGTCACTACCACTTACCTAATTAAATATGCCAGGAATACAATAGGCAATTTTGCATAAATTGTCTCACTTTATAAGGACTCTGTAGTGTAGGGTTATCATCTGTGTTTTATCATTCATACCTGAGTAACCAAACTTGCTACAAGTCAAAGGTTGCAATTTGGACCAATTTTTTTGGATTTCAAGTTTTCTAAAACAATAATGGATTATAAACACTTTATAGGAAGAGAATCTTAACTTCTAAAATATGTATTTTGTATTTTCTTAAATATAGTTCTTATACAGGCAGTTGTTGTTGTTATGTGCCATCGAGTCGTTTCCGACTCATAGCGACCCTATGCACAACAGCTCTAAACCCTGCTCTATCCTGCGCCAACCGC